ATTTGATCAAATATTTGTTTTGATTTGATTTGATTCGAAAATATTTGATTCAATTTGATTTGATCAAATATTTATGTTCATTTTAATTTGATTCAATTCAATTTGAAAAATCAAATTAAATTCAAATTACTTAAATATTTGATTTTATTTGATTTTGAATAAGGTTGCTTGTCTAAACTCATTTTGGATTTGGCTAAATGTCAAAACCTTTGGTTTCGCTAAATTTTATTAAGTGTTTGATATAGTTTCACGATTTTTATAAGCTTTGATATAGTTTTACCTTTTTCTAAATTTTGCAGAATTTTAATAAGGTTTTAATATAATTTAACCAAGTTTTACCTTTATCATTTAGACATTTATCTAAACTCTAGATTTCGTCTAGTAACCTTATAACCTAAGTTTTATTATTTTTAAATTATTAATCTTATAATACTAGGTAACGGAAACTGTTAGAGTGTCTGAAGCATAAGATCATCAGTGATACAAGTTAACAATATCACAGTAAAATGTAACAATAAAAAAATTTGGTGGTAACAAATCATTTTATTAATGAAAAAAATATATCAATTGGGTATAATTTGAGGAATCATCAAAATTAACCTTCTCTCTTCTGCCAATTCTCTTGTAATCTTTTACAAGCATTATTAGTGATAGTTTTGTTATGACATATGATACTGTGTTTAACCTAATTGACGAATGGTAATCATGTTGATCATGAATATCAACTTTTTACCATTTCTCAGATTTCTCAGATTTCACTAATTTTTTAGCGATCTTCAATTTCGCTAATTTCATATATTTCTTTAATATATTTAATATCTTTATTTTTTTATATTTTTTATATTTCTTTACTATCTTAAATATTTATTTCATATTGATGTATTTTATATAAATATCTTATATTTCTGCCTCAATAAATGGCAGAGTCGCTACCAATTCTCTAATAAATCAATAACAATTTATCTCTAAAACTCTAAAACTTATCTTTGCTCGTTAAACATTTTATTTTTCTTTAAATCTATATTAATAAAGATGACCTAACCCTTTAATTTAATTACTCATATTTATTTCTTTCATAGATTAACGTACTTAAACTCCCTACTAGCAAATAATCTTTATTAACTTAACGATAATGGTTTAAGCTTAATAGCATTAACATAACAGAGTCTTTCAAATGAAAGAGATCTAAAAAGAGTATTTACGAGAATACAAACCCGAAATATAGCTACAAATGAAAGGCCAGCTGCATACCTTTTTCTTCGAGATCTATTATAGCCTTTTGCAAGGTCAAACCTTGACTTTTATGAACCGTGATTGCTCACGCAAGACAAATAAGGACTAATAGGAGTTATGAAATGAATTTATTACCTTTCGCAGCTATGATAGCAGGACCAATATAACTATCAATTTCTATTAGTACTGCATTAGGAAGTGAGGGAGGACTTTGATCTACTTCAAAAATAATGTCTAGGATCGTTCCATTCGAACCATTGAATAATTCTGCTTCTGTCCATAAGTTAACTCTAAGCATATCCCTCATATCTCTTGCTAATAATAACTGTGATTTAAGACTTTTCGTCACGTCTGAATTAGCTTTACGAGCTTCATTTCCACCAGTATGAATTGCATTAATGCTAGCAACAGAACTATTTAAAGATATAATAACGATGATATACTCCACACATAAGATTGATAGATAGGATTCGTTCATTACATATAGGGCAAATATGATTCTTAAGACTATTAATCTTAGAGCGAAAGTTTTGTAAGAGTTTTTGATCTAATTTAGGAAGACAACATTTATCAATATTTTGGATCTGATCCTCATTCTGACAGTTTAAATGCTCATCAATATTTTTTAAAACTCCTTTTTTTATTTGCTTTCATTTACAAATTTTACTCAATTGTTTCTCACACTGATTTGCAGTTTTTGCAGCCCTTTTAATACGTTTATTTTCTCTATAATATGCATTATGAGCTTCATGTTGATCAGATTTTTCATTATCTCTGCTTTACGTTTTTGAAGTGCATAATTTGGCATTGTATTTATATTTTAAGATAATGAAATTTATAATGAACAAGCAATTACGGTAATTTTTTTATTATACAATTTACAATTTCTTATTTACAATTAAAATATATTAATAAAAACTACGCTTTGAATAATAACTTTAATTAATTATTAATTATGATAATAATAAAAATTAATTGGTGCTAAATTATAAAGTTTTTTTTTATTTTTATTATATAAAAATAATCATTGTATTCAAAAAGAAAATTTTAATAATGGCTTATTACTGATAAAATTCACGTAAATTGTTGTGTACATGTGATTGATTTTCTGGAATTTTATACTTGATTTATTATTTATTATTTATGGTAAATTTGATTGGCTTAGACAGACAAACCTTGCATTAGTTTGACGTAATCTGTAATGTTCTCTGCTACGCTTCAGACAATAATCTAAAAAATTATTATTTTTTTTAAAAAATGTAAATAATTTTTAATAATTAAGATATTACAGGACATAATAACCAGATAGTATATTGGTCAGAAAATAATTTAACAATCGATTTTAAGAAAACTAATTAATAATAAAGTAAAATTTTACTAATAAATTAGTACTGAAAATCAATCATGATAAATGGAAAAAAATAGATGATTTAATTAAATAGATATATAATATATATAAAAATAAGTGAGAAATAAAATACCATGATAATAAAAATTACTAAAGATGTTTTAAATCTATTAAAAATATTATAAAAAAATATATACAGTGAGACCTCTTTAAATGTATATATGAATTATATATTTTTTTTATAAATACATACTCTGCATAGCTACAAATATATAAAGGTCATATAAAATTTCTCTTTTCAAATGCTTACTCTTTTTAAATACAAATTTTTTTTAAATTTTTACTATAGGTTTCAAGGGGATGTATTTAGAAAGGTTTCCTTATTTTCTATTTTTTATTTTTAAATTAATATTAAATAATTGGAAAGCAAATTTTCATATTTGAGAAATTATATTTAGATAATATTGATATATTTGTATTTGATAATATAAAAAATCATATAACATATGGGAGGTTTGCTGGGAAAATGGGGCTTTGAGTATTTTTTATTAAAATTTTAATTTTATGGCATTTTAATCTAATATTATCGAAAAATAAAATACAATAAAAATTAAAAAATTCTTATTTTCCTAGCAAATCTTCCACATGTCCAAGAAGTTCTTATTGCTTCATAAATGAATCTTAAACCTAATGGTAAAGGGAAATTTAAAGATAAATTAATGCTTAATGAATCTAAGTAGATATTTAAAAGGTTTGAATAGGTTTTAAAAAAGCATGGATTGTAATTTCAAAATAGATTAAATGAATTTGTAATAATTATAAAAAGCATTCATCAATTTATAAATAATTATTATGCAATTTGTGTATTTCACTTTAACCATGATTTTTTTACACAAAAATCTTTAGTTAAAGAGATTATTAAAACCAGGGATATAAGGTTATATTTTATCCAAAGTTCTATTGTTATTCTGGGATGCTACTAAATGATATGCTTAAAATTATTGTGATTATTTATTAAAGCATTAGAAAAAAATTGTTTCTGAAGTATTAAATTCTGATATGCTCATCAATATTGGAGGTTTATGGATAAGGTCTTACAGGCATTGAAGCTTTATATTCTGTAAAACAATATAGATTATATCTGAAAATGTGATATGATTATTTAAATTCTTGATAATAAACTATATGATTTGAATATTGTCCAATAAAATCATTTCACGTGATTTTATTATTAAACGAAAAAAATAAAAAAGTGATGGCTTTAGACTGCGCGCACCTTACAAACATAAACATATTGTATCAATATTTAATTTTTGCCGAAGTATTAGAAAATATGTTTAAGTTTAGCATTAATTCATTTTTTATATCATACTATCAAACAGCATTGACTGGTGCGCATCCATGGCGCAGAAAATCATGTCACGTGAAAATTTAAACCAATAAAGAACGAGAAATAACATTATCCAATTAGGAAAATTAGTCACAACGCTGAGTGACTCATAGTAAAAATAAATTAACAAAATATGGAGACGTGATATTTCATCGAATGGCTTATTTTTCCTATGTCAAAAATTTCAATAAAATATTTTATTATTGTATAATTGTATATAATAAATAATATGGCATTGAGGAATCGTAACTGAAAATTGATAGTGTTAGAATATACCTTACTGGGCGACTGCTAGTTTCCTTTAATTAATAATACAGATCAAATGACATTTTTCAAAATTTTAAGAATTTTGTCAATTTTTAGTAAAGTTGAAATTGAAATTCAAAAACAAAGCCTCGTCGAGCATTTATTTGTTGTAGGTTAAGATCTACTTTGGTAATTTATAGAATGAATGTAAATTTGTATGTGAATCATCAAATCAGCATTGCCGTCAAAACAAAGCCACACGAGTTTTTCGGGAACCAATTTGTTTATTTTTTCAATTTACAGATGGGTTTTGTAAATATGAAGCCTCAACGGTTATTTCAAATGCAATCCAACAAAGTAAATTAATTAAATTAATTAATTAATTTTTTTTTTTTTTTTAAAAAAAAACTTTACCCGACAACTTCCAGATTTCGGGAACTAATGCTTTTTCCCTCCATTTTGCAAATGGAATTATATAATTCGAAGCCTCACGGTATTCCAAACAAAAGCTATGTTTGTGAAATTAATAATTTTTTTTTTTAAAAAACTTATACAACAATCGTTATTTCCTTTTTAGGTGAAAGACTCAATTATGGTCTGTAAATTGAGGCTTTGTCATTAACTTTGCAGATCAATATTATTACCATAACGAAATTATACCATAACGAAAATCACAAGTTCCTTAAGTTCGAGACAAGTATATAAACACAACATTATTTCCTCTGAAGAATGTTCTTCACTTCTTTCAAATATAAATCATAAATACAAAGAAAGAAATCAAAAATGAAAGTCGCCATCGTACTCTTCCTTTTTTCCTTATTCGCTGCAGTTGCTTTTGCACTCGTAGCAGACAAAAAACCTGCCAATGAAGAAAGTGTAGACAAGCGTTCACCCCATGACTACTACGACGATGATTACTACGAAGATGATTATAATAAAAAAAGTAAGTTATCAACCACAAAAATTGATTTGTTTGAAATATTTAAATGCTGACATTTTTTTTCTCAAGAACATTACAAACGTCACGATTATTACAAGAAAAAGGACTACTACGATGATGATTACGATTATAAATACAAGAGTTACAAGAGTAAGTTACCTACTACCAAAAATCATTTACATGATATATTTATATGCTAACTTTATTCATTCTCAAGAACACTACAAACGTCACGACTATTACAAGAAAAAGGACTACTACCACGATGACTACAAAAAGGATTACTACCACGATGACTACAAAAAGGATTACTACCACGATGACTATAAAAAGAATTATTAATGGGATAATAAGTCCAATGTACCATAAAAATATGTTCTCTTACATTTAAGTTTATATTTTATATGTACATTTAAAAAACAAATTTTTATGATGGTTATTATGGGTTCTGTACATATTTTAATAATTTTTCTTTTTCTTTTTTTTTAATGTATATATCTTTAATTTGAATCTTTTTTCATCATACTTGATTAAATAAATTGAAAAATTTTATTTAGGTGAATTAAAAAAAATATATATAATGTTAGTAAACAGAAATGCATCGTTAACAATTGATATGTTCCAATTTACCGTTATGTAAATAAGCTTAATTATAATAATATTTAATTTTTTGCTAAGACTCATATTATAATAATGAAAAGAGAATAATAAATTTTACGTTACACAAAAACTTCATGATAAAAAAAGCATATAATTATCCATCATAGCCTTTTTTTATTTTGTGATTTAAACTTTTAATTAATAGTTCCTCAATTTCTAAAATTTTATTTATTTATAAAGTTATTTCCAAGAATACTCTGAATTTTTGGCGCGTGAAAAGATTTGGATTTATAGCTAAATAATCAATTTATTAATTTCAAAAAAAAAAAAAATAAATAATATTTTATATTATTTGAACATTATCGATATCGTTATTAAATGAATAAATTAATAACTTTAAGGACATTAAACCGACAAATTAACTAATTAGTCTTAATACAAAATGTTCATTTATTCGTTGCATTTAGGGTTAAAAATTGCTAATAAAAATACCGCCACGACAATTGTTGTGACCGGTATTTCTATAAGCAGTTTTCAACTCTGCTTCAATTACATTCTTATTTGCAATTTTTTTTAATAAAATTAAAATTAATATATTGTACCTTATGTACTTTATAAAAACGAAACATATGCAGTTATATCAATTCTAAATCGAACATAATCATCGTCAAATGCGTGATTTTTCTATTCACTTGATATTTTGGTTCTTACGAGTCTTTAGTAAGAAAGGTTTGAAATTAATACATAGATTTCTATGATTGTAGGAAACCTATTAACAAACAAAGTTAAAAAATAAACCAGATGATCTCATATCGTGTTTTTAATTTTTTGATAAAAAATGGAATACAATGATTATACATTAATACCATTAAAATGGTAAGAAATTCAAATGTGGGAATGTATATATTGTTTAAACCATTTGGTCAGCTGTTAAAGTAAGGTATTTATCGACTTCTTTCAGAAGGCTTTTTAAATTTAGAACGAATTATTAATTAAACTAGGACAATCCACTTTACAATATTGCTTCTATAACATTAATGATTATATCGGTAAAAATAAATGAAAACTATTTTAACTAAAAAAGAAAAAAATTTAATGAAAAAAATAAACAAAAACTTACCTATGCATCAAAAAAAAAATAGAAATAATTTTCTTTATAGATTCATCCCGAAGTGAAACAAACCTAAAGAAAAGAAAAAAGGGCGTAAGATATGAAAAATTTAATCGATTGATCGCTTCCACTCAAATCAAATATGTCAGATTAAACAAATATGATAGATCGATTTAGTATATTTGACATATCGAATAACTAAGACAACGTAGGTAGATATTTGTTATTCATTTACTATAACCTTTTGCGTGTCTTCATACAGGCGTGATTGTGATAAAGTAAATTGTATTAAATTCGAAAGACTGAATTAATTCGTCTAAGTTTTATTTTCAACCTATCAACTAACAGCGACTGAATCCAGTACAAAAAAAAAATGAAAATAGAAAGAGCTTAATAAAGAAAAATAAATATAATAAATTAAAACTACTTACCTTATGATCTTAGAAACCGTCCGATCCGTATAGAAAACTGCCATTAGTTCCAAAATCGTAGCAAAAAAAAAAATAAAAATAAAAAAGGGAATAACAAAAATTAAAACCGACTCATCTGATATCTGCGCATTCTATTTAATCCGAAGAGGAATCTAAAGAAGAAAAAGGGCGCAAGTTTTTTTTTTAATCGCTGCAGTCGGAGGCGATCGCTTTTTGTTTGTTATCAAAGTTGGTATTCGGGTGTTTCTTGTGTTACGATGTTGATCGGTTGCGGTACTTGATTAAACAATCTTATTAAATAAATCTTTCATCATTTTTGCTTATTTAAAAACCTTCAACTTCCCCATTCGTTTATAAATATAAACATTAAGAACTGAGCGCAACACTATCCAAAATATTTGAGTAGACATTGAATACCTGCTGACACCTTGCTTCGGAGATCAAGAACTGGGTGTTACCTCTTACTCCCACGCTTTGCACACATGTGGTGATAAGCCATTACTGCCATCAAGACCTCAAATAAGAGATCGCTCAAACAAACTGACATTTTTTACACCATGGATCTTCAACAGGTCACCATCGTAAATACTACCTTTTTATTAGAAACCGATATAGCAAAAC